AAATTTGTGAAGATGCATGGGTCGAAATTAGTTGAAGCAAATCCACCTTTATTTAGGACGCTTGATAATGTATCGTACCATACAAGAGGGGATTGCTTTAACCCGTAGATTGACTTTCGTAGAAGATAACATTTACCAGATTCCTTAAACCCTTCAGGAATTTCCATGTATATCTCCCGATCTAGTTTTCCGTACAAGAAGGCAGATTTTACATCAAGTTGCCTTGGTTTCCATCTTTCATGGGATGCTAAGGCAAGTAAAAGGCGCAATGAATCGTATCGAGCGACAGGAGCATATGTGTCATCGAAATCTGTACCAGGTTGCTGAGAGAACCCTTTAGCGACGAGACGAGCTTTGTAACGTTCGATGGAACCATCGGCTTTGTGCTTGATTTTAAACACCCATTTAGATCCTACCACATTACGATCGTTGGGTCGAGGCACGACTGTCCAGGTATCGTTTCTGTTGAGTGCATCCATTTCTTCTTCAATGGCTCTCCTCCACAATTCATTATCGTCCGATTTCATTGCCTGCTTATATGTCGTTGGCTCAAACATAACCGCATTTGCTTGATACCTTTGAGTATTGGGTACCATACCCGGGCCAGGATCAGTTTGACGCTTTTCTCTAGTGCTTCTACGAGGTAAGTCGTTATGAGATTTGGCACTATTAAATGATTCTTCTGTTTCCAAGTTAATTGATGGAATAGGAGGCACACCTAATAGTATGAAGTTCTCATGTGGCTTTTTCGGAGCGTTAGGAGTGGTCGAATTTATCGCGGCTGGGAATGGAGTGGAAGGCAGCGGTTGTGGTTGTGGTTGTGGTTGAGCTCGAGGAGTTTGAATAAAATTTCCAGGCATAATTTTTGAAGTCGGTGATGAAGGGCGAGTATGAATTGGACTTGAAGCAGGTGTCGCTTCAGCATTGGAAGAAGGAATGTCTGATGGTAACAATGGTTGTGAAAATTCGACGGTAACTTCCCCTGGCTTTGTGGCCAAGAATTTCACTTGTCGAGTAATTTGAACAACTCTTTTACTTGGTACGTAAATTCGGAATATATTAGACGAGTTTGTGTAACCTACGAATATACCTTCTAGCGCTCTTGGGTGGAGCTTAGAACCGCTCGGTCTGGTTTCAGCTGGTATGTGAATGTAGACTTTTGTACCAAAGGCGTGAAGGTGTGTTATTGATGGAGGTAAAGCCCCATTTAATAACTCGAACGGTGACTTAAAGTCAATTGTCCGGTGAGGCGTTCGGTTATATAAATATACCGAGGTGGCAATTGCCTCTGCCCAGAGAAATTTTGGATGATTAAGAATCATTGCTCTGGCTTTGGTGACAATTGTTCGATTGAATCTTTCGGCCGTACCATTAGATTCGTGTTCGTATGGAGGCGAATTTTCATGATCGATACCATTGTCTGTAAAGAATTTCTGTACTCTTGTATCAATATATTCTCCTCCATTATCTGAAAAGAATGTTTTGATATTAAGATTGTGTTGGTTTTGTATTCTTATTACAAAGTCACTGATTGCTTGATGTGCTTGGCTTTTATCACGAAGAAATGATATCCAAGCGTATCTTGAGTAATTGTCGATGAATGTAATGTGATATCTTTCTCCTCCGCATTAACTAGCGGGGTCATTTCTATCAGTATATATCTTTTAATACGTATATTGAACTTTTCGACATTCTCTTTTTTCACCTCGGACTGGTGGTGATTCTTTCTTATCTCCGTCGCAAACTACTGACCATAGCTTTGCCCTTCGGAGAGAAATATGCCCAGCCTTATACCATGTTCTATAGTTTGAATGTCGAATACGCATGGGTAAGGTGGCGTTTTTATTTCCGATGCTGACAGTAGCGTATGTTGATATTGTGTAGATTTTCTGTCGACGGAGGATTGTGCAAACCCGGGCTCATAACCAATTGAAATTAGTTCCGGAGATTGGAAGAATTACACACTAGCCTCGAGTTTGATTAAGAGATACGATAATTGTGTTTACTATACGAAGAAGTCTACTGATGTTTAATGGATAGTTAATTGTGATTAAATTGCTATAATTCTATATGTGTGGCAAGAAGTCCCTCTATATACATGAAAGCGGGGTTTTCCGCACACTAGTGTGAACTCCAACATACTTCCTAATCTAACCTAAACGGGAAGGTTGTTGGGATCCTGAAGCCAATGTATACTGTTAGGCATCTATTGGCTAATTACTATTCATGCCAGTGAGTGATGATATGGGTTAATCATATCTCATGGCGCCAGTGCATATTATTCTAATATGTACTATTTGTCTACTGCAGTCATGTTGCTGCCTTAATTACAACACCTTTGACCAACAAGTCAAATAGACAATTCGTAGACTCCATGAGAGTCTATCTACGCGCCGCCATTGCGCAATACATGGACACGGGCCCGGCCACTACGCCACCCGTTCTCCCTCCTCGCCCGACGAACCCTCTCCCAAGGGCTCCCGAAGCCAGGAGTAACACAACTCCCGCCGTCCCAGCTCTGCCCGTCAAAAGTACCTGGGCCACGGTGGCCAGAAACGGACTGCAACAAAAAGCAGTCCCAACTGTGAAGGCTGTGCCGCGACCTGCGGCCAAAGCCCAACAAAAAGAAACCCCCAAGGCGAAAGTCCACAATCGACTGTTCCTTCGCCTTGAAAAGGACCACCCGCGGCGAAAACTGTCCACAAGCAGCGTGAGTACTAAGTTATAGTATACATTCAGCTACTTTAACCAAGAAATAACCTCACTCCACCGAGTGAGAACGGGCTTTGCTATGCTAGCAAAGAACGAAAAAACACGACAAGAGACTTTAGATGGTTCTTCGAAGCTGGCGAGTCAAAACGTCAAACTCGAGGCATCTTCGGACCTTGTCGCTTTACAGATACCGAACGTACCTGTAAGTATAATCACAGTGTGCGGCCCCAGGGCGGTCGATGCTAGCTGGGTCTCTGCCAAGATTCTCGGTACGACCGGCGCGATTCAAATCCAGGTCCGACCTCATGGGACGTGTCGACCTGGGGCACTGTATCAAAACTGGCAAGCCCTTTTTACGCGGGACAACGCCCCTCGTGCAGGCTTCCCCCTCTTCGACGATTCTGGTATGGCTACCATTCACAAGCCTCGTCGCCAAATTGGACAATGTAAACGCTGTTTGGGCTTCCACGCCACTCGTGGTTGCTCCCGCGCTCCAGCCTGCTGGAACTGCGGCTCCAACATGCACTCGAAAGCCGAGTGCAAGGCCCTCACTGAGTGTCGTAACTGTGGGGGACCCCTCCGATCGGATTCTCGGGACTGCAAAGTCAGACCCAGAAAGTCTGGGCCGGTGACAAAAGAGCAGCTCGCATGGATACGCCACCTCGAGCAAGGGAAGTTGGCGGAGGCGGCTCGAGCTAGGGCTGAAGCCAAAAAGGCCGAAGAGGCGATCGTCGCGGCAGCGAAGGATGTGTCAATGGCTGAGGCAACAGGTTTCGGAGTGCTGGGATCTGAAGGAGAAGTTTGAGGACACAGCAACCTCGGCGATGTCCCCTTCTGGGCCATTTACTAACTATTAGCAGGATACCGGCTGGATCAAAGGTGCCTGCTAACTTATCTACTGCTCTCAGCGGAGACAAAGTAAATTTGTCATTTGGAAGAAATGACGAACGAGGGAATGTTTGAGGAGCACATTGACTGGGTCCAAAATGGAGGATTCTTCTGGTTTTTTTCAGAGTTTTGATTTTCTTGATTTTTCGTTTCAGTTTAATCAGCAGCACTTTTGGTAGCGATTCACACGTTGGGAATGAGTTGGGCTTTAGGAAAAGTCACAGGGAACCCTGCCGGATCCGTCGGTCGTTGACCTTATATGGAAAAGAAAGCGTTAGCTTAGGACCAAAAGTATAAAAAAAATACCCCCCCTTCATCAAGTACTTCCAATAACCATCACCTGACTTATCTCTGTACTCGATAATTTCAACCCAATCCATCTTTTATACAGCCGCCTCGTGAGATCTGGCCTCACAGTCTTCCGTTTCTCGAGTAAGGTAGCAATTCAGGCTACCAAGCTTCTAACCGGCGAGATGGCGATCTGAAGGCGGAACCCAACAATTTCGATGGTTGCCGGTTTTGAAATTTCGATAGCGCTATCCGAAACAGTAGCTCTTGAGTCCACAAGTACCTAAAAGTCGTAACCCCTCGAAAAATATGAGCCCTGGAGTACCCATTTGTGGCCTCCTCACTCGCTTTTCCCACTTCCCAGCTATCTATCCTCCCTCAAAATTTGAACCTCCATTTGAAAAACGGCCCCTACTGCACTAAAATGCATATTAGTATCTGCTCACTTGGTTTTCTCCTCGCGGGTATGCAATTCATCGTAACTTAGTACAGGGAGATAACCGGCTTTTGATAAAGCAACCTCCCGATTGCCATTGGAGAAGCGCTTTTATTAGTAGTCGAGTGAGTGAAACATCATTCTATACTAAGAAGGCTCACGGGTAGGACTCGGTAGTTGAGCCCTCAGGAGGGCACTTTGCTTGCCAGCGCGGCCAATGACCTCCAGACGTATTTATCACCCTATTTCAAAAGACCCATTCATCTGTACCAGCAGTAGTCAGTAATTAGTAGTTGGGACACTGAAATGTAGTAAGATTGAGTTACAGGACTCGTGTCAGAATGAAAGGCCCAACGGTGACGAGAAGTCGACGATTTTAGGTGTACTTCAGTCTGCTTTCAACTTCCATTGAAGTGCGATTCATCTTGAATATCCCAGATATGCAGAAGATACTAAGCGATTACACTCAGACTACTAGAAATTGAGGAATTCATTTTTGCCAACACACAATGCATAGATGTTGTGTGGTTCGACAATAAGAATGTGTTATCTTACAGAACTGTCATGTGATCTAATTGTATATTATTATGCGCCAGATCTTAAACGTCACGATCAGACACCAAACACTATCAGCCTATTTGTCTAAACTCAACATCTTCTATTAAAAGATTACAACATGACTGAATTTACAGACATCTGTGAATACCTTGCCAGGAACCCATTGGCAAATATTCTCGCGTTATTTCTAGATATCTATGAAGACAGTGGTTCTAAACCTGGTAATTTTCACACCAAAGCTACCAAATCTAAAGCTAATTTAATAGCTTATGCTGCATTATTTTTTTCTTTAGCACCTTACGCATTCGTCGTCAAAGACAAAGATGCTTCGTCCCAACTGTTTAAACAATTGAATTCTATTGCCACCAAAATCAACGAGAACGTGATCGACGTCATCAGACTCCAACCTCTCTTTCATGCTATCTCAGAAAAAGAAAATGAGAAAGACATACTCAACATTGCACTAGACTTCGCTCGAAACCCACCATACAGGATCGGCCTCATACAAAGAAGCTGTCGACCCACGTCAACTCCTTCCCTCAGTAAGGAGACAATCCTGCGGGGTAATGATGAGTTATTCAGCTATCAAACAACAGCTCCAATTGTCGAAAAAGCCCTGCAGAATGAACTTGATGGTAACGTAATCACTGGGCTCAACAACTTCTGGGAAATATTTTTCCTAGATCAAGATTGGTCCGACCAAACTCTTCGCATCTGGGAGTGTTATCAAAGGTACGAAATAGATGAGATCGAAGAACGGGAAAGAGATGATGGCGGAAATCCACTAATAGCTCAGACAAAATATTTATCCAGAGAGAGTAATCCGAAAGAAACTTTGAAGCTAACCCACAGACAAAAAAACCCCAAAATGTTCACGGGGCTAGAAACACTAGAAGAAGGTATCCCTCTAGGAACATCAGGAGGGAGCCAGAGACAAGAAACTAATAAAGAAGTGCATTGTCCTGAATTAACGGAAGGGAATAAAATAGTGGAAATGAAGTTGACCTATAAGAACAAAATCTTGATTGAAAACATGACAGAGAAAGAGATTTGGGACTGGCTCATTTTTTTTCAGGACAACTTTTTAAACCAGCTCATAAATCCAAACTCGAACTCCCTTAGATTGTTCCCATCCCTTGTAATAGAGGACAAAGGATCCCAGATTAGAAACAAGTACTGTCATACAAGTCATAATTATCAGATAAAAGGAACAACCAACAATTATCAGGTTGACTTCCTTGTCAAGAGTATCGATGTGCCCAGTAATGAAATACACCAGTGGAAGGATGTCAGAGTGCTTGGGGAATTTACGATAAAGCCCTTCAAAGATGAGAGAAGGAATAAATTTCTTCAATTATCAAGATCAGTCCTGCAAATATTTTCTACACAGCCACTTCGTCAGTTTGTGCATGGATTCTGCCTTTTTAAAAACGACTTTGAACTTTGGTTGTTCAATCGCTCCGGTGCGTATAGTTCTGGTCCATTATCTATCAAAGATAATAAAGACAAGCTGGTAAGAGCAATATCATCATACCTGTTCATGAGTGATGAAGAACTGGGAATCTACTCTCCTTTCCGAAATGTCAATGGAAGGTCTTTCCTATCATTTAGCACTGAGAAAGATGATCAGGCTCAGGACTATGATATCAATCCTAATCCTATTTTCAAGGCGGGGACACTAGTCTCTCGTGGCACTGTTTGCTACGAAATGAGCGAAGAGAGTGCAATCGTGAAGTACTCGTGGACAAGGACTGCAGGAAAATCAGAAATTGACTTCATGCAAGACGCCTGTGATACCGAAGGTGTTGTCAATTATCTCCGAGCAGATAGAATTTGCAAGACGAGTGATCATCTACAGGGTCTCAATTTTGGTAGTGCGGCTTACTCGGATATAAGCGGTCTAAAACCTATTGCAACAGGGAAAGGTGAAAAGCAACCAACTACACCCCCACGCATTAAAGATCGGGAGCTGACCAGACTTATTGTCACACCTCGTGGTTTTAGACTGAATAGCAGCAGGACGATACTTGAATTTGTCGAAGGGATAAGAGACGCCATCATGGCACACCAACGTTTATTTGTTGAAAAGAAGGTACTCCATGGCGACATCTCTGACGGAAACATAATTTTGGCTTTCGTTGGTGGCAGGTTTCGAGGGTTACTGATCGACTTTGACCACGCCGTAAAGGTCGAAGATACTTCAGACAAGCATGAGAACTCGTACTTGACCGGCACCTTGAAATACATGGCGCTCGAAAGACTTGAATATGCTGCAAAAACTGAAAATTCTATAACACGAACCTATTATCATGACCTGGAGTCTTTTTTTTATGTATTCCTCACAGGCTGCATAGAATATGAACGCCGCGAGAATCCGAAAGTAGTAGTTAATCTACAAAGTTGGTGTGAAGAAAATATCAAGGAAAACTTCAAAGGCAAGCGTAGTGATATGACTTACTTCGAAACTGATATTCTTCCCAAATTCTCGAACAATTTCGACGATTTGAAGGAACTTGCGCGGAAGTTACACAAAATTTTATTCGGAGATGGTCAAGTCAACTTTGGAACACCTATCGAATACGAACCTGTGTACAGAGACATGATCGGGGCTTTCGACGAAGTCATTGCGCTGATTAGAGGTAAGATACATCAATGACTTTCACAAACTTGCTGTTCACTTGAAATACAGGCCGCTGATAATAGTTCATCTAGGTGGAATAATATTGAATAAAGCTTTAGAACAGAATAAAATTTATTAGCAGGTTTTCTGAACTGGAAAAGATGGCAATATCTTACCTAGTAGTCAGAAATAAGAGAATGGGGTATGCAAGTAGACGAGTGTTTTGGATTCATACTTAAAAGGAGTGATCTCAGTTGCAAAGATGTTGATGAGAAATGTGTTCTAATTTTCTGGTTTACATTTCCTTGAAATGATAGTAGGCGAGTATTAGGCAATAATAGGACGTGTTTAAAAGCTATTTATATTTCTATTTTGCTAGCATAGAGTATCTTTATTTAATAAATTACAACAAGTTCTTGTTTTAGTCCTATTCTGCACCTAATTTCAGAACTATGAAGAAGAGGGAAAGTTTTCCAGTCACAGAATCAATTGTTTTCTAGCGCGACGCAAACCAGCTTCATACGTAGAGTATTCTTTTGTTTCGTTAATTTTGTCCCTCCACAGCTCAATCTCCTCTAACGGTAAGGAATCTTATCGACAATGTTTCCGTTCTAATTTTTAACTGAGCCGAATACGGCATGACCCTCATTATCTCTTGGCAAAAATTAAGCACAACAATCTATAAATTTACTATTAACTTTAAAGCTATTTAGATTATTTTAGCTGTTCTTCATAGTCATAGACTCAGTAGGGACATGTTGGAAATTCAGACTCTATGTGTCTGAAGTTTCCCTATGACTGGAACATCTGAGATTCTCACAGATAGCCACGGCCTGACTCACGACCTAGATGATTGATATCCCCTTTACCGTGCATGTTTGATGTTTGAGGCTCGACTAGTGCATGGTATGTTCTGATAAATGTGTAGCCTTTCATCCACCGACCCTGGCCCCATACTCATGTTGTATACTGTCGTGCGATTCATTGTCATTGTTAGAGTATGGAACGAGTGATGGATGGTATCTAGTTTGGATTTGGTCTATCAAGTATACATGTATGTAAGCTGTCTAGGAATCACCAAGACAGATAATCTAATAAATTCGATTCATTCAACCAATCTTTCATTTCTCCATAGTATATCACGTATTATCCCGATTCATATCATTATTATTCTATTCATAAAATCACGCCCATATTCTTTGGGCCGCCATACTCATCGAACCCATACCGATTTTCCAACGGGACATCAATAAAATTCTACTCTATTCTTTTAACTGAGCCTCCCAACATCTCAGGTATTCATATATGGCGTGCTGGGATAGCGCCTACAGCCACCTTTCATAGGAGGACAAGACTGGACACCCATACGCGGTGTCCTCTACGAACCTGGGAGTGAAATATTCTCTCAAAGATAAGTTCAGTCGAATTACGCAATATCAAAGAAGTTGGCCCACGAGGCAATGATTCAAAATACTTCACCAGGCCAAGTTTCCTCTCCCAACGAGATCGGCTCCTGTCTAACTCTCATAAGTCTACGAATACGACCATGTACTGTCACTGTTCAAATATAGAAAGCAATTGGGCATTTGTATAATTGAAAGGTAAAGCTATAATTCATCTATGTAGAAGCAAACTACCTGCAAGTCTGCTCTACTACTTATACACATCCAGAGGTATCTAAATCCAGCCTACGCTTACAATGGCAATGAAACCGACTTAAGTTTTGTTCTGACACACGGGTAACGCTTCCGATACTCTTGGCACTATCTTTTACGTAGCCTCAGTGGCGATCTCGTATCAGTTTTCGTCTACTGATTATCCTCGGAGTGATAGATAATATAGGTTGCCTTCGATAGCCATCGAAGGCTACAGGACTTATCGGCTCACAAGTGTCACGGTTTCGAGGGACAAGTGCTGGGGCAACTATGTGGTCGATGGTAGTAAATAATAATTCTATGGAGAGAACTTCCACTACATCTATCTATTCATTTATATACGTGAAAGCCTCCTCGCCACCAAGGCTAATCCCTCTCCTGTTCCTATGCTATGGGACTCCCCTAGTGTTCTGACTATGCCTGTAATACAGCACTATCGCGTTATGGTCCGGAAGGATTGTACTCGGTCTCGTATATTCCCAGTCAGTGTAAGCCTATCAACATGTGGTGCAGTGCCGTACTGCCGTGACGCACTGCCGAGTCCGATGCCATGTGAATACCATGCAAATGCCGACGCAAAAGTATTGTATTGGGTGGCGTCGCATATTAGCGCATTGGTAGCCATTGATAACGCCACTCGAATCAGGCCTAATTTAACCAACATAGGCTACAAGGACCAATCGGCTTACCAGCCGTTACAACAAGCTGTCACATCCGTGAAGTACAGCGTCGAAAGCCCTCTGCACGTCCAGAGTTACAAGAACCGCTTTCTTATGTCTTTTCATTGCGTGTTCCACGTCGTGGATGACACCGGAGACGAGGTCGTTGGCAGATCTGCCAGAGAGTGCTCCAAAGAGTTGCAGCGGGACTGCCTTGTAGGTGAGGGCGGTGTAAGCCATTCGCCTTGCAATCAGTCTCTCGAGACCTTTACCCAGGGAGGAGAGTAGAGCGATGGGCCTCCATCCTTTAGCTGTGCTCAAATCACGGCCGGGTTTGGGGAGAAGGATTACTTCCGCTAGCTTGAATGCTTTTGGAAAGTGATTTAGTCGCAGTGAGCCCTCAAAAAGTACTCTCACTGCGTGTCCAATTGATGGCCAGGCTGTCTTAAGGAGACGGACGGAAATTGTGTCTGATCAGGGGGCATTATCCTGGCAGGCTGTTGTGATCCACTTGGCTTCTTCGTCCGTAACGCTTGTGAGCCATGGAAGGTTTTCGCGGCCTGGCTCGAGGTGATCGGCGTCGATATCGTTTTGGCTGGTGAACCGCCCGAGAAGAAGGTCACGCAACAGAGTTGCTCGCTTTCCTGGATCCGAAACAAGACTATCTGGAGTTTGGAGTGGTGGAGCAGCGGGTGTGGGCCGCGACTTTGCCCAACGTGCCATCCGATACATATCGACGTCTGTTGTAGCTTCAGAGAACTTACGCCGCCAGTATTGGCGTTTTGCACTTTTGACTATGCGTCGGAAAGCTTTCCTGCTCTCTTCGTCCCTGAAAGTTCTGTATTCACATTTGGCCTGTCGACACTCCAACGTCCACCAAGGTGCCGTTCTACCCTTCTTTGCACTCCCGCGTCTTCCGGTAGCCCTAATTGCATCGTTAATAGTCTGGACTAGCTTGTCAGCAAGGTTATCGACCTCGCTTGTTGAGGTGATGAGCTGTTGCCCTATTCCATTTGCCCACCTTGCCAGTACATTGGCAAAGTCTTCGAGGGCGGCGTCGGTCACCCGGAACGGCTGACCAGCTTTAATGACCGCTCTTGTGTTGGAGTTTGGGCGGGGGATGTCTCCCGCAAGGGTTCGGTGGTCCGATGTCGAATCTAGCTCAAGCGAGATATCTGCAAGAGCTCCTGCGTTGGAACACACTAGGTCGAGCGTGTTTCCAAGATCGTGTGTCGGAACGCCGTGTCACGGCACGGCATTCTGCTCCGCCATGATATACAATTACGTGGAGGGAGGATGTGAGACTGATGGCTGATGCAGGAAGGAGCACGGACGCGGCGATTTAGTGGAAACCCGCCCGAATAGGAATAGCCTCAGGGCTTTTTGTAATGAGATCCTGTTCTTTTCTATTCTTCTCCAGCTTAGTATTTGCTTCACAGATTGAATTATCGCCATACAAGCTGTACTTTCACTTGTGCCTATTCTACGCCGTGACATAATACTAAGCTCCCTAAACTACTCAACGCGACCTCTGTAGAGAGGTAAAATACTAATTTCAGACTCAGTAATCTGTGGACAGCGTTTCGCTCACGATTATCTGGACAGTCATTGGCTAATTGTCTCGCTAATAAAGGAAAGCAGAAGATGCCAGGAGAGTGGCCGAAGGAAGACTTCACAACCTCGGTGTACGCCACCCGCGCACCCGGGGAAGAGGAGGACCTCACTACGAAGATTGATGTTCCATGGTATCAGAAAGTCACTTTTGAATTGTTGGACAAGGATTACAACAAGAGAAACAAACGCCGCGCTGCTGAAGTCAAGAAGGAGACTGATCAAGAACGTCACGAACATACCCTTAAGACTATGTGTACCGCCCTGGCTGATCGCGCCAACAACATCAGCAACTACCTTCGAGATACATTGGAGCAGAAGGCAGAGGCAGAGAAAATGGCACAATCCTGGGCGGAGGAAGCTGAGCGCTGGAAGGCTGCATTCGCAGAGGTCACTCTAGATCTCAAGGCCAAGGATAAGGGTAAGCAGAAGGAGGAATCCAAGTCGGTGCGAGGATCTGCAGCCTATAACACTGTTGAGAAAGACGCTGCCGGCTGTGAGGCCTCAGAGATACCACCAAGATACAAAGAGGTCCGTGACCCACAGGCTAAGCAACTCCGCCACCGCCAGAAGATTGAGAACCCACCCACCTTCATGGGTTCCCATAATCCTACTTTCGAGAACTGGGAACACGCTGTTAAGCGCAAGTTGAACGGCGACTCGATCTACTTTGATGATGAAAACCACAAGATCAATTACCTCTTAGGCTTTATTGGTGGTGATGCACAGGAATTCATAAAACCCTACCTCGAGCCAGAAAGCGTCAACCACATCACTTTTGCGATGTCTATCGTCGAAGTTATGCGAGGAGCCTACGGCAAGACCCGAGGACAGAAGCGCTCCGAAGCTCGTGCCAACTTCAAGAAACTCCGACAAGGGGATGACAGCTTCTCAGCCTTCTTCACTAAGTTCCTGACCTTCGCTTCTCAATTGCAACTTAGAGACGAAGACCGCATGGATGAACTTCGCGAAAAGATGAGTCCCAAGTTGCAAAATGTCATAGCCGGATTGGATTTTGAATCTACCTTGGAGATGTCTCAACACTGCTTGAAAATAGAACCACACCTGCAATTAGCGCGCAAATCGGAGGATCAAGCCGCTCGCTACCAACAACGCAAGGACAGGTACAAGAAGCCAATTCTCCCGCCGGGCCTAACTCGTACTGCACCTCCAAGAGCGTCTGGTCCACCCAAGCCAAAAGTCTTGGCCCGAAA